GGATTATTTTAATTTTTATGTTTTTGTTTTATTCATAATTTTTAGAGTATATTATTAATTTTTATGTTTCGTACAATTTAGAGGAATATGCAAATGTTGATAAAGGATTATAATATAATATTGCTTTTTATATAAAAATTTATGATGTTATGTTTTTATTAAAATAAAGTAATATTTATGTTAGATTAATTTATTCTGTCCAGTCAGGCGCGTACGCAGGAATTTGCTGTGGAGAGGGGGGAGGGGGGGGGTAACTAATTTTTTTTATGATAAAACTATTGTTATTTAAAAATATCAGGCATAATTTATTAGGACTAATAACTTGAAATATAAAAAATTTAATATATAAACCGGCATATAAAAAACTATAAAATAAATGTGAATTTAAAAATATTAAACGGATCTAACCGTTGGCATATAAAAAAATATAAAATAAATGTGAATTATAAAATATTAAATGGATATAACCAGTATATGAATCACTATAAAATAAATGACCCAAAATAGAAATTTAAAGTTTTTGAACCTTTAAAATTTATAAATAAAGTATAAAAAATTTAAATGTTGGAAATATTAATTAATACATAAGTTTCTTAGAAATAATTGTTTTTTGTATGTAATAACTTATAAAGTATTCATGAAAAAAATATATAACACATTAAAAAATAAAATTGCACAAAACAATATTATTAAGAAGCATATTATATATTTATATTGTTAAATCCAATCTTCGTTGGGATCGAGCTAATTTTTCAATTATCTCACCCGTGCTTGGCGTCAAATGTATAAATATTTAAAAGAGCCAAACCATTCAATCTACTTTCGAAAGTTGTACTTCTTAAATATTTCTTTTTAAAGAAGAGAATGGCAGTGGCGTCGCTAGGGGGGGAGGCGCAGGGTCTTGAGCCCCCTGAAAAGTTTGAATAGCCCCCTGAAGCAAATTTTTTTTTAATGGCCCCTTAATATCCCCGTGAGCTAATTGCCCTCTGAATAATTTCTTTTATAATTCTATTGAGTAATATATAGATTTAATTTTATTAAAAAATTAATAAGACTATCTTAATTTTTATTAAATGAATACTATTTTAATTATTAGATTAGATTATTACATATAAACTATACTATGTCAGCTTGCAATCAAATTCTATGTTAAAAATATAACAATATCACTCACTAAATATTAATTTAGCATTAACAGTTGAAGCTTAATTGACCTTTATTATTTAAATTATTATATAACCCTAATTAAATAAATATAATCATTTATTAATTGAAAATTAATAATTTAATATTTTAACCGAGTTCAAAATCACTAATCAACTATATTATTGATTTTTAAATTTAATTATCATGTCTCTTCCTAAAATTATTTTCAAGGTCCAAATCCAAATAAGTATGAGAGATTTATTTATAAAAGTATGTAGACATATAGTTTATAATCCTCTATTATATATAATTTTTTATAAAATATTAGGTAAAATGCCACTTTTACAGACGTATCTGACAGTTATATAATATATTACAGTTAGTATTTTTAAAATTTTACTAATAAATGCTTTTGATAATACATATAAGTAACAATTTGCTTACAAATATTTAACGCCATCTTATATTTACAATATAATTAAAATTAAGCGTATTATTATCAGTTGTTAAAGGATCTAGATACAAAGTATCTAGATCCTGTATCTAGATACAAAAATGTGGTATCTGTATCTAGATAGATTTTTGATTAAAATATCGGTATCTAGATAATATTTTAGACCATGTATCTGTATCTAGATCCATTTAAAAAATATCTTTTAACAACTCTGATTATTATTCATACCACAAGATATCTTTTCTTCTCTTTTTTACTTGTTTTTAGGAAGCTATTTTCTTCCTCTTCGTAATATAGATTTGAGTTAAATTTTTAATACGAATATATTTTTAATATTATTATAAACTACTATTATTTTAAGATATAATATACCAACTAAAGATGGTGCGACAATAATATATAAAATCTTAATTGCTTTCATGATATCACTCTGGTTCTTATTTTGAAGTTACAAAATGTTTCATTTCTAATATGGCATTTTTGCCGTGTAAATAACTCAAGGCTTCAATATATTTGCATAATTTCTTCTAAAGGTTTTTAGTGTTTTTGTTTTATCAATTTATCTAACAGAATAAATACTGAAATGGGTTACCATCGTGAGTGTCATGGCTAGAACTGCAAATTAACCAGCATCTATTATTTGTATGGCTATATAATTTAATATTATTACTACAGCTGCTGAGAGCATATGATCGCATATTTTAGATAAGCAATAATGGTCAACTGTGTAGTCGTTTATCATTAAAAATGGAAGATAATCTTTTAGAAATTTAATATCATACAATAATTTTCTCGATTATTTATCTAGCTTCCATCATGTCATCTAAGAGGAAGCTATAACCACCATTAGTTTTATGATTTGGATTGGTCGTTTATATTCTCTTCTTCAAGAATTGTTGATTTGATAAAGTCTATATATTTTTTATTATTAGTCCATTCTATAAAACATTGTCATGGTAATAGAGTTATATTAGTTTCATGACCTTTTGTCAATGTAAGTTGCTTTATATTATATTATGTAGTTTTCAAAAACCATTATCAATTGAGACATATATATATATATGAATTAATTAACCTTTTTAATCATTTATAATTTTTTAGACACAAAATTTTTTTATATCAACAATAGAAAATATTTTATACTGTGATAAATAGATTTTGTATTCAAAAATATTATTTGTCTCTTATTATTTTAATGATTTATATGCTAGTTTATTTTACATGCAAAATATAATAAATGACATTCAGAATAGTTATTTAGAGTTAGTAAATTTTAAAAAGTATAATATATTAATATAAAACCCGGCCGAAGCCCGAGCAAAAGCGAGCCGAAGACCCGCAAATTAGGGAGTATGGGGGGCGAAGCCCCCCATAAAAATTTGTTAGTTGAGCCCCCTGAGATTGTAAAGGCTAGCGACGCCCCTGGAGATTGTTCTCTCAATAGTTGCAGTACTAATGAGAACAGTTTCTAATATATATAATAATTTTAATACATTGGAAAAATAATCTAAAAGATGTTTAAATGATGCAAAGCATCCATAGCATTTCTTGGGACTATATCAACTATAGTTAATCTTTTATACCATAGATGCCATTCAGCTAATAAGGCATCATAAGATACTTTATCTTCATGATAAAAATCTCCCAAATATTTTCTTTTCTATCACCATCTGAAAAAGGTTCGGAAGGCTTTAGTGGAAGTAATATCTGCAAATTGGTAAATGCTGCCTGATGAATTAAATACCGTTCATTTATTTGGGTTATAAATCTATCTAAGAGAGGGATAAAGACATTTATTTTTTAATACTCTTCTAATGACCCTATATTAATGTTTGGACGATTTGCCTTGCTGCAAGTCGAGGAAGACAATTATTAAACGATAGCTCTGCTTTTGACTCAACAATAACATATAAAATATGAAATTCTTCATCAACATTAGCCCTAATTTCCTTGAGTTCTAATAAAATGCTCTTCGCTATTCTCATCGTCTCAATCAGTCAATGTCATGGTGTTGAAAAGTATTACATAAAATAGTTGTATAATTAAATAATTTATTAATACATTCTAAAGAGAATTTTTTTTTGGTATGAGTAATGAATCTAATAATTTGCTTGCTTCTGAGAAAATATCTTTTTCAGATCTTATGATATTTCAGTAAGATCATTATAATCGGCTCTTCTAATTCCATAAAAGCTGTTACTGCTTGATGACGAAGACTCCTTCTCGTTGGATAAGCTTTTTGAAATTTCTTTCTCCTTGTTGGACAATGAGTTTCAGAAATAATTCTGTATAAAATATTTTGTCACTTGGGGTATTCCATTAATGCAGAATCCACTAATGCTTAATCTTCCTGGATCCAAATAGCCACATAATGTTAGGCCATGCAATCCACAATATAGAATGGATTCAATAGTTAGTTTGATCTTACATATATTTTCTTTTGCTATTTTAATCATATTTTTGGCAATATGTGATGAAATGAGAATCATATCCCCACTTTGAATTAATTTGAAGAAATCATCAGTTCACAACTTTTGTGATAATTTGTTTTTTGATGATTGTCAAAGATTTATCCAGCATCTTGTTGAATGGAGTCTTAACAAGACTGTTAAGCTTAACTAAATATCTTCCATCAGGACACATATCTTGCAATAAGCTTCGCTTTTGTCTCGGATAGAGTAGGCTAGTCATAACCATTTAGTAAAATAGCTGCTTTGAGATCTTAACTTTCGATTAGCACATAAAGTTTGTGAGTATTGAAAATTGAGGGGTGGAATATAAATCTATTATTAAATAAAATATTTATCATAGGTATCTTTAATACCTTTTTAAGAAGTACATGTCTTTCTTCTAATCTAATTATAAAATGTTATAAAATTATTCTTTTTTGCTTTTTTGTAAGATGACTGGATTTTCATTATCATCACTATGTTTAAAAAAATTCTTATGTCCATAAGTATTATTTAACTAGAAATTTGAAAATGATAGATAAATATTATGCCACTAGAAATTTAAAAATAATAAATCGATATTACGCCAAGGATAATTTGCCCCCCCCCCTTCACTGTACGTGCCTGTGTCCTTTACTTCTTAATAAAGTTAATTTTAATTTGTTAAATTAATTCATTCAGTCCAGTACTACGACTTTGAAAACTTTAAATTTAAAAAAGCATTTAATAAATTATTTTGCTATTTTCCAACTTTAAATGATATTTTTAACGCGTTTCTTAAATTTGAAAAATCTGATTTTGCCGGCATGTAGAGACAATTCTTTTATAGACTATACTATTAAAATTTTTCAGCTCATAATTCAAGTCTCAGCTTAATTATTTGAATAAAATAACTAGAAAAATATTTTTTAATAATATATTATAAAAAAAATACCTTTGGAATTCGTCGATATTCACGTATATCAGTATTTAAATAATATAATAGAGTATAATACCAGTATAATTTGTTTCTATAAATAAAATTTAGATAAAAGATAAATATTAGACTTTTCCAAATCGAAAGGAAAAAAAAATATACATATAATCATTTCAAATAAAATAGTAAAAATACAGAAGAGAATGGAGTTTTATAGTGCGTATATATTAGCAAAATAAATTTCATTTTTCATTGATAATTTTCAATTCTCTCCTAGCCTTTTCTTCAATCCGCCTAAAAAAAGTTCAAATATTTAATATAGTAATCATGAGATGAATTTTGGAAAAATATTCCCAGTTTTTGAACAAACACGTTTTGCTCAAATGTAAAATTTTTTAGACTTCTCAATATATTAAATTTAGGCCGAGTATGCCTTTTATTTTTTTATATAAAATATAAGCTTATTTTTTTAAAGAAACCGGTTCTACATTATTTAGAGAAAATAGGTAATTAAAATTGTATTCATCCTAAGTCAATTATGAATGCTGACTAGTCTTTATATACTTGTTTACTATTTTGCTTAAAGTTTTAAAGACTAATGCCATATTTTTTCCTATTCAGTATAACAAAATCTGTACATTTTGATCTTCCGATTAAATCAATTGCTAAACTTATCTCTATACTAACTACCCATCCCTCATTAGTTCTATAAAATTTGGTTATGCGCGGCATTCATTATATTATAATCAAATAAAATCTAACAAATACATCTTATGTAATTATTAATGTAGCAAATAAATTTGATAAAGCTTACCTTTCTCGATTGAAAGGCGTGAAAGTATCTAAAACTCGATCTAATTCGTCTTGATGTATGCTATCCTATAAATACCAAAAATTTATACCAATAATAATACAATCTGATATAATTATTGATCAATTAAACAAAAAACTGAAGTTATGCACCATTTTTTACGACTAGGTTTTGAAAAATTTAGTGATGTAAACAAAAAAAAAAGAATTCGTTCGCGTTTGACGTTCTTTCACAAAAAAAAAGTTTTCAAATTCGTGAGCGCATTCGTGTTCATTCAAATCTATAAATGTTTCTTTTTTTAAAGTGCCTTAAATATGATATTAATAAATGCCTAATAACACGATGTTAGCGGTTGAATTCAATATTTTATTCTGTGTAGTATAGTGTATATAAAAATATAAAACAATGACAAAATAATTATTCTGAAATAATTTCATTATTCAAAAATGTTTTGGAGTTCTTTTATTTATTTATGAAATTAAATTTTCAACAAAATGAATCATTAATTTATCATTATCTTCATCTTCACAAATCTGTCCTTCATGTCAAAAATTAGTATATATTAGATAAGATGGATGCTTACAAGTATATCGACCTCGTTCAGTCAGATGTCCACATTCTGACTTTGTTCCACTGTCCCTTATCAATCCATCGATTATTCCTTCAGAATTCTCTTCCACCTCTTCATAATTCAAACAGAATTCTCTTCCACCTCTTCATAATTCAAATTCCAGTTTTTCAATTTTTTTTCTTGACCATCCCAAACCAAATATCATTTCAAGGATCCCTAAAGGTGCAAGATGTTAGTTGCTAAATCTTTCGCTGATTGTCTATCCTCCCTATTGCTAAACTTTAGCAATGAGCATGAATGGCTAAAATTCCTATTCTATTGATATAATACCTTCAGGGTGCCTGACAAAACGTCACATAAATCCCTTACCCAGCAAGTCAAAGTTGCTGCCTCGATCAAGACTCCTCATCTTCTTAAATACAAAATGTGATTGCCTGTCATAAATAAAAGAAAACACTCACCAATTGAGATGAAGGCCAATCTGTTTTGCAAGAAAATTGACATGAATATAAAAGGTGCACTCAGATTGGTGTCCACACATGACTCTCTGGCTGAGCCTTCCATGGCCACTTATATAAAGCTCTGTCAAAAACACACCACAGCAAACATTATCCCAATTTCCCCTCAACCTCAATCAACATGTGCTTCTCTATTTACTTCTGAAGAAGTGAGGAAAGCTATCCTTTCCTTTCATCGTGATTCTGCCCATGGTCTTGATGGCATCCGCCCCATTTTTCTCCAGGACATCACTTCCCCCTCAACCTTCTCAAAAACTCCCATTCTTACTAAATTAACATCTCTGCAATAAAATTTTAAAAGTTGAAGTACCAAGCTTTGTTTCTCCTATCCTCTTCGGTGCTAGGCTAATTGCACTTCAAAAGCCCAATGATGATATCAACCAATTGCCATCGGTTCTACCTTTCGTCGTAGTTATAAGATGATATCTTCTCGAATAAAGCATGATGCTTCACGTCGCCCCTTCCAACTTGGTGTTGGGATCCCTGGTGACTGTAAAGCGGTTATATATATGACTAGATTACATTTAGAAAATCTACCCTCCAATGAATCTTTAGTCAAAATAGACTTCTCCAATGCCTACAATACACTCTCCCGGAATTCCTTCCTGAGTTCCACTGTTACTATTTTCCCTGGTTACACAAAATTCTTTCATTCTTGTTATCAACTGCTTTCCACCCTGAAATTTGATACTTATAAAAATCCATCCATTGAGGGCATACAACAGGGAGACCATTTAGGTTCCCTAAATCTAAATTCATCCCTATTAATTCATTCGAACCAAATTCAAGCAACTTCAAACTGACGACCCTTGATGGACTATATAACTTTATACTTCCTTCCTTCAGTCCACACTTGAAACACTTTTTGAAATGGCTGATTTATTTTCCCTTCTCCCCTCCAATAAAGTCGTCTTTTTCCTCTTGAAATTTTTTTTCACTATTCCTCGTATCCTATATGAGCTTCGATCATCTCCCATTTTTAAATTACCCATTCCTCTCTGAGTTTATGAAAGAAAATATTCTAAACCTTAAATTCGAAGAAATTGCATGGACACAAGCCTCTTTACCCACTAAGATAGGAGGACTTGGTATCAGATCTCCGTCCGATCTTGCCTTAACAGCCTTCATATCCAGTGTCTTTTAACAAAAAATATAGTAAATTCTCATTTGATAAAACCCGACTCTTCCTATAATGATCCTATCATCGAGTGGAAAACAAGAATTATTGCTGATCACCCTCTTCCTGAAACGAATAAGCAGAAGGACTAAGATAGGAATTATTAAAATCTGCGTTGAATCCCTCCTTTCTAGAATGCAATTATCTGACCGTCCTTTATTCTCCTCACTGCTTAATGGTTCCGGTCATGAGTTCCTCGAAGCTAATCTCTCAGTTAATTTGCAATTACAACTGAACCAAAATGAGCTCACTCATGCGAGTGGTATTCGTTTAAACTGCCTAATAACCCAACCCAACACATGTTCAGGATGCAGCAGTTCAGCCGCTTTGGGTAATGGAAGACATAGCATCCACTGTTCGTGTAAAGGTCGTATCGTTAGATATAATCTATGCAATTCAATCATCCTTAGAGCTTTGAGATCTGCTCAAATTCCCTCTATTCTTGAACCTTCCGGTCTTTTCACTTGGAGGTCCATTCTTGGTCTGGGATTATTCGTGTATTGATCCACATGTACCATCAAAGCAAACCCTTAACATTCTTGAGAAAAAGGTGTCACTTTAAATAGCTAAATATTCTGAAATTTCTCAAGAATACATATTCATACCCATCATTTTCATAACCCTTACAACTTTTGGGAAATGTGCTCTTTATTTTTTCAAGGAACTTGGCTCTCACATATGCAAACTTAAAGACTCGCCATAGTGATTCACAAGGCTAATTACATTAGCTTCATAGGCAGCCTCATCCCACAAGATGATTAGTTTTAACTTTAATACTTTTTAGGCCCTCCCCCTCCATTTTTTTTCTCTCTTTCTTCCTATTACTAATATATGTATATTGTTCATTGTATTTAATATGAAATATTATATATATTTGTTTATATGATAATAATTAATGTCGTTTTTTAAAAATTCCCTTTTTATATTACTAATTGTTTTGATATATACATATATGTTATTTTATAATATAATTACAAAATAATTTATATAAATTATATTTTAATATTTAGCAAATTAAAAAATTTATATTAATTTTTAAATTGTTCAAAATTTTGGTCCGATATCCAAGAGCGTTTCGTATTTAAAATGGATAGATACTAGGCAAAAATGCGTTTTACTGGAGTTGAAGTCGGTATTACGGAGTAGATGAACTTTAAATATTTGATGTTTTATCTGATGTAGGTCAACCGATACCGGTTCAAACTATTCCATGGTCAAATTTTATTTTCAAAGCGGTATGATGGTCCAGGCTGCCTTTATTTTATCTCTCAATTAAAATATTATTGATAAATCTTCTTTTAAATTGTCTACTAATTCATCGTATTTCAGATTGACATTTTTTTCCTGATTTTTATTCATTATAAGTTTTTATATAAATTTTTATCAAGTATTATATAAGCGCATTTTCGTTTAAAATAAAATAAATGTCTTTTTCTATGTTTTTTTAAATACAAATTTTATTTACCACGCGATCATTTACAACACTAGAAAAATAAAACCAATTCTGATGCGAGATTTAAAAATCTCATATAAAAGAACTTATTTTTCCCTTTCTTGATCTCTTATAAAATATATATTCTAAATTATATATATTTTTTTTTAAATAGAGTGAAATGAATGGACAATGTGATATTCGACTTACGTGTTTACTCTCGTTCGAAACTCGTGATAGACGTTTTTCTAAGAGTTCTTTTCTAAGGTTTTGCTTAGCTAATCTTTTTTTTTTCTTGTGCAAAGGATTGGCTTCAATTATCATTTCTTCCAATTCGAAAGTAGGATCGCAGTTTAATTGTTCTTTCTATCAATGAATAGAAAAATATTTCTTCGAAGATTTAAAATAAATGATAATTTTTAAAACCAATGGAAAATAACTTTGCGTATAATTTTATGCACAATAAGTGCGTTTTATGGGACCTTAAGATCAGAACTGTTGGTGGGAGTTTTAAAAATTGTAACCTTCTTGCTTTAACGTGGTGACACTACTCGTTCAAATCTAAATAAGTTTCATACTTTTAAACCAATCTGGAATCTTCAAAGTATAAGTTATTTATTTAATATATAAATTTTTAAAACATTCGTTTTTTAGAAAAATTAATTTGATCATAGCGTGATAGGTTGTCCAGCATATGTTGTTAGTTGGTCCACCATTAAATATAAAAATAATTTTTTTTGATATTATTATAATACTAGAGACTTTAAAGAATATTAATTTACCGATAGTATTGTAATATGTAATAATTAGGAAATAAAATTTAACTCCGGGATTTTTACAAATTTTTGTAAAAATAAATCATTTAAAGCAGGGTTAGCATGTCGGTCAATTGACCGGCCAAATACTATAAAATATTGGCGAAATATTTTGATATAATTAACTAGTATGCATTAAAAGCATGTTTATCAATTTTATTAGGTTAAAATTTATTTAAAAATATATTTGTATCATAAAGGAAATTATAATTATTATACATTAAAATTTAATATTTCATGGTTTATTTTTTAAAATAAATTTAAATTTTATTTAATATCCGAGTATAAATTTTATTAATTCTCATTTATTTTACTTCCACTTGCTACATTTGAATTTATAAATTAATTTTAGAGGTTCAGTTTTTCCGGTGCAAGTGGAATCTACAAATGCAAATGATGGTATATCAAGATTAAAAACCATATTAATCGAACTAGAATATTAAAATTGAACATCTTATTTTTATCAGAAGTTAAATAATATATATTGATTTCGTTATTTTAGGATAAATCGAAATCCAATTGATATGAACATTAAATCTCAAAATCGATAGTAATCATCTAAGGCCTACATTAAAGAATTTAAACTTAAAATCAGCCATCTCCCACTCTTAAAGTAATTAAATTATACTGTAGTTCTAGGGCATAGGCTTTTGTTTTGCCCAACTCTTCTTTTATGAGTCTAAGGACGTTTAAATAACAGTTCTCGGACTATTGTGCGTACAAGTACGTGCGGCTTGCCCACAAACGCGTAGAGGGCTACTCGTTTTTATTTTTTTCACCCAAATTAATTTTGTTCCAGTTAGATGGAAATGAGGAATTTAGCGTAGCTCTGTTGAATCTTTAACGTCAGAGGGCATAAGTGCTATAAATAACGTATCATATCATTAATTTTCTTTATAGTTGTTGTGGTCAGATTTACAAAATAATCTATTCAATTCTGGTAAAAAGTTATATATTATATTATATTTTATATAATATTAAGCCAAATTATTGAAATAATTAAGATTGATTAACTTTACAATAATCAAAATCTTTTATAGTTAAATTTTAATATATTAGGGATTATGGTCAAACCAAAGCATCTTTGGAAACATTTTCAGGAAGTATGTAATGAAAGCCGTATGCAGGTTTTACAAGATGTCCTATATTACCCACGTTGATAGAATGGTCAAGCTTCAGTAAACAGCTGTACTATGTGCCCTGTCATAATTAAGGAAAAATTTTATTCAAATTCCAAAATATAAATCTAGACAAAAAATCACACAAATGTAATTTGTAATACTTCGAGCTCTGATGAAGAATTGGGTGAAATTAGTGAAAATAATTATCAAATTGACTTGTGACTCAAGAAAATTTGATTCCATTATCTCTGATCAATCTACAAGCAAGGCGATTAAATTTAAATCACAATCTTGTACAACCGGTTTTATAGGTAGAAAGAATCCCAAAGAAATGAGCTCGATCACTGGTTTACAAAGGGTGTATATGCGAGCAATTTACCTTTCCACATCACTGAAAATCCCTAAATCCAAAATATTTTTTAAAAAAAATTACGTTCTATTTATACTTTACCCATGCGAAGGCAGCTGGCTGGATATCTTCTAGACAAAGCGTCAGGAGATATGGAGGCGAGAGTTGCAGATATAATAGATAAAGTTCCACACTTATCAATTGTATCAGGTGTGCATCAGAAAAGTGAGTATTATTAATTTTATGGTGATGACGCCTGTTCCAGTGAATTGAATCCGGTAAAAGTATATTCTTTAGTTACTGATAATGCCGCTAACTTGAAAGCAGCCTGAAGAATTCTAAAAGCTGAATCTATTTATAATCATTGATTTCTGCAAAAAAAAATTTTCAGGCCAATGTCTAGCCCATTTAAAATTAAAAAATTTTCAAGCATTTCTATTTTAAATTTTATCCAATATGATTTCCATCACAAATTTAAATTTTGATATTTCTTGTTGATTGATTTAAATTTGAATAGTTAATTTTAGTTTTATTTGAATATTGTTTATTTTATATATTAACTATTTAAGTTGTTCAATTAACTTTTTATATTTATATATATATATAATGTTTTTTAGATGAAAAATATATAGTAATAAATTTGATTTAAATTTAAATAGTAATAGTTGAAATAAGTCCTTACTTTTATTTCTTTTATGGTGCCCCGGTTACGGTGGTACGTTTTTCGTTTTAAATTAAATTTAAATGATAAAAGTTTTAAAAAAAATTTAAAAAATATCCTTACCTTGAATTCTTTTGTTAAAAATAAAAAGTAAACGAATTACTTATCAAATTCGTCGTTCGATATTGGAGATGATAAAAGGACAAATAAAATTTTTTGACTTTTCTTTTCGATAGTCAAAATTTTATCCAAATTTACAAAATTATAAAAAGGTAAAAAAAATAAAAAATAAAATAGAGTATATATATATATAAATAAAGGAGTTATATGATAAAAAATATTTTTTCGTCTAAATCTTTCAATTTTTACGTCGTGATGTTTTGTTTTAAAACTTATGATATACCTCAATACGTTATTATTGATGAAATGTTGAAAGAAATGGGTATATGTAAAGAATTTTCTTATGTACGTGATAATAGGACGAACGAAATTGTTTTTTATTTTAAATCTTTACGAAAAATGATTGATGCATATATGTCTCTAAATGGAAAACCCTATATTCTTGATGACAATAATTTTATTTTTATATTTTGTAAAATTATTGAATATTAAAATTTAAATATCTTTATGCTCTACATATTTGACATTATATTTATAGGGTAAAGAAAATTTTTCCCTATATTTCATTATTAAATATAAATTTACGCAATATTTAACTTATAGAATATCAATAAATTTTTTTCTAAAAACTTAGTCACGAATTAGTATTAAATTTTTCACAGACAAATTATATTGAAACTTAGCGGATTAAATCCTCTTTACGAATTCGAATTAGAATTTTTATAGATAAACTATTAAAACTTAGTGGACCATATTCTCTTGATTAAAATTTTTAGACAACTTAAATTTTATTTTAATGAACTACAATGTTTTGCTTTTACGATTTTAAATATTGAAAGTTTACTTTACTCAAATAAAATTATATCATGGACGAAAAATTAACTCTTACACACACTCAATATGTTCCTAAATTTCCCAAGTTATCAGGAAAATTATCTGAGACTTACCTTAACTTAATAGAAACATACTTTGAAGGACATATTGAGTCAGACTCATCTAAAGTTAGGACACTACTATGCAGCTTACCAATTGAGATTGTAGACCAAGTTACGTCGATATGTTCTAAAGCACAGTTAAAAGATTTTAATATTGTTTTTGGTAAATTGAAACTGTTAATTCCAAGTGAGGACATTAATGTAAATATAAAGAACTTTAATTTAGCGGTACAAGGTGCCGAGGAGTCCTTCCATACTTTTTATTTTAGAATTTCAAAACTTCATAAAAAATGCGATTTTGATAACGATACAAGAATGATTGAGAAATTAATAACTTGTTCTTTAAATGATAATATTAGAAGGAAGTTAAATAAACATAAGCACGAAGGTTTAGATAAGATGATGAAATTAGGAGTGGAGTTAGATGGCAGCAATATTAAACCAGACGTTAGCGATACAAATTATGTAGACAATAATAAAAAATTGGATAAAAATAAAAAGTTTTACAATTTAAACATGGATAAAATACCATGCAAAAGTACTTTTAGTAATAATGAGAATAATTCTAATGATTATGAACGTAATAATTTAATTATAATGGACGTAACATTCATAAGGAAAATTTTGATTTTAAGAAGAGAAATTATAATGATTTTAGGCCTAATTATAGTGCTAGCCGAAACTATCAAAACAATATTTTTCGAGATAGTGAGGGTAACTCTAGAAATTTTCGTAATAACCATCTTCGAATAACAATTCAAACTATTACGGAAGAAACTCCATGTGGCACAACAACAATAATGCAAACAATTATAATAGAAACAATGCCTGGCAATACAATAACAATTCAAACAATTATGGTAGAGGTACTTGGCAAAACAATAATTATAATGGGAGAAACAATTCCTGGTCTTACAACAATCAAAGAAATCAGAGTCAATATAATAATCGATATGGTTATCAATATCAATCCTATAATAACAACAATAATGGAGAAAATAATGCGTGGAAAAATTATAATCAAAATATTAATCAAAGAAAACCATTACAATATAATGACGTGAATCAAAGTAACATCAATTGTAACATGAACATTGAAGAGATTGTTGAAGAAAAATATAACCCTACACAAAATAATAATGGTAGTGATTTTAATATCAACAATTTAACTGAGTTTAAACTTAATGATAATGCGTTCTAGACCACTTTAAAAGTAAATGATGCTGTTGTTACTATGCAGGTTGATACGGGATCCAAGTTTACAATTATACCTCATGATATGGCTAAACAAATAGGTATTAAAGATCTTAAAAAGTCCACTCTACAGCTCACAGCTTATGATGGAAACTTAATCAAGATTATTGG